TTATATAATTTAATTAATTAGTTATTGAATTATAAGTAAATATATGATTCTGGTTTTTTTTGCACCATACTGTATATAATGATATACTATAAAATTTATTTATTCATATATTTTTAAATTTTAATTTCTTATATATTAAACGTTGTTTGAATATAATTTGTATTATAAAGTTATTGTGTTTTATATAAACTCAATAACAATAAAAGAAATATTAATTTATACAATATATACTGTATTTCATTTTTTTTAATTCAATCTTGATAAAATTTTACTTGCTTTAATTATTTCAGTCTATTTTTTATAAAAATCAAATGACCGACTTTTAAAAAAATATAAAAGGAAAGATCATTTTTCTTGAAAAATTTAATCAATATTTTATAAAAAACAAAAGTCAATGCAATTAAAATTTATTTTGACATTTGTTTTGTTTTTAAATTATTTTTTAATACTGTAAAGAATCAACTTTTTAAAATAATCATTAACAATTTACTAAATTATGGGCTAGTTTAATCATTTATTATAATTTTAACACAAGTTTTGATTATTTGTAATCTGTACAATTTTTACAATAGAGAAGCCTTTTTTATAGCATTTCTATATAATAATATTGATCTTTTATAAGATTCTTTTACATCCCATTTTTTTAAATAGGACAGAATTTTTAAAAAAAATTGGTTAAATAATTAAATAAAACAAAAACATATGTTTTATTAAATGCGCAGCATTGATGATTTAGTAGCATATGGTACCGTAATTGTTTGTCATTACAAATAAAAATATTATTTATGACTACAGTATTGTATACTGTATCAGGTTTAATTTGTGATACCCTCTGTACTGTATTACATATCACACAGATGTCTATTAATTAATACGGTAGAAAACTGCACACAGTACAGTATGTATTTTAATAAATCATTTAAAAATGAGCCTAAAATTTTTTGATAAGTTGTCCAAAGACTTTACCGACCTACTTAATGATAAAGAAGGTCACGATGTTACTATTGAAGTGGGTAAAGAGGGAGATAAGAAATCAATTACTTCACATTCGGCAATTTTACGATTTCGATCATCCTACTTCCGTGAAGAACTGACTAAAGTCATTATAGACAAAAGTCCCATAGCTATTATAAAACTCGATATTTCTGCTGAATTTATCGAAGTAATTCTTAGGTGCCTATAATTTTTTTTTATTTGAAATAAAATATAAAGTTAATTAATAAACTTTTTTTGCAGATATGTGTACGGGGGAATCGTTAACTTGGAAGATAAAGACAATAAATTTATATTTAGTCTAATGATAGTTTCCAATGAGCTTAAATTTGAAGAATTATCTCAACAATTGGAAATTTATATTATTGAAAACAAAGCTTTTTGGTTGCGTACACATTTCTCATTTGTCTACCACTCAATCTTTAAAAGTCGGAGTTTTGAGAGATTAGAAAAATTTTGTAACGATATTATAGCAAAATACCCAAACCTTATATTTGATGCCGAGAACTTTACTTCTCTTGACGAAACGGCATTAGTTTCTCTCCTTAAAAGAGAAGACCTACAAATGAATGAGGTAGAGATTTGGAAAAAGGTTATTCAATGGGGAGTTGCTAAGCATAGTACTTTATCACCGAGAATAGAAGAATGGACCAAAGAAGACTTCCAAACCTTAAAGTTAACTTTAAAAAATTGTTTGCCATACATTCGCTATTCTCAATTTTCTCAAGCTGATTTATGGAATTATATTGAGCCTTATGAGAAAGTTCTTGATAATCAACTATGGAAAGATCTCAATAGACGTTTAATATTTCCTGATAAACCCGTCACTTCAGTTATTTTACCTGCAAGGTTAACAATTGTTCCGGATCTACCAGAAAGGATAACAGAGCCTTTCTCAACGATTATTGGTTATGATCATTCCGCAGAGATTTCGTCATGGGTTGATCGAAAAATTACTACTTATTCATTAAAGGATATTCCTTATGAGTTTCAATTAATTTTAAGAGGAAGTCGAGATGGGTTTAATCCTCAAACTTTTTGGGATATGTGTCATAACTGTGCAAACACTGTTACGGTTTTAAAAGTATCAGGAACCGATGAAATTCTTGGTGGATACAATCCCTTAGTGTGGGATAAAACGACTAATGGAAATTTTGGAAATACAAATGATAGTTTTATTTTTTCATTAAAAAACGGAAATATTCAAAATTCGATTCTTAGTCGAGTAAAGGAGGCAAAATATGCTTTTTACAATCGACATCCTTCTCGACAGAGCTTTGCCGGTATATACTTTGGAGGATGTCTATATATGGAAACAGAAAAATCCGATTTTACTCAGGATTGTTTGAGTTATGCTGGTTTGACTAGCCGTTACGAAAAGAGAATTAGATCAGCGGATGGATATTTTTCTATTGTTGAATATGAAGTATTTAGGTTGGTAAAGTTAAAAAATCGCTAGAATTTATTAATAAACGAGATTGATACTTTTAAATTATTAAATTACAACTTGATGAAATATTATACTATTGTAATTACTATTAAAAGGATTAATTCAAAAAACAAAACACATGATGTATAAATCTGCAGCTAAAGCAAAACAGGTTTCAGAATAACTTAAAGGTATAAAAAAAAGTATTAAATTATTGAATAGTAAAGAGAATTCGATATTAAGGATATAGCGGATTTAAAATCAAAGAAAATATGTCATATTAAAATAGGTTAGAATTATAGAACCTAAAAAATTATAAGACATGTACATTAAACGATAAACCATTTTTTTTTCTTCCACCGATTAACTCAGGCGCGCCTAGGGAATCACTTTTTAAGACAAGAATCTGTGAATTGGAAAATAATTTGACAAAGATAATAGTTAGTTTTAAAGGTTAACTAGTTATGAGCTTTATACCATTTTGCTTGTAGAAACATCGGTAACATTTTTGTTTTGGGGAACTTTGTGTTTGACTAAAAAAATTTAGACAAATTTTTAAAAAATGTGGTTATAAGTTTGCAAATTCCATGTACAGTATATCATCTTCCCAAACAATAAAATATCTGTTTATACCAGTTCGATAAATAAGTACATGTGAACAGTGTTACTACTTTGTTACTTTATTTTTTCACTAATTTTCCATGACATTCTCACAGTACTGCTGCATATTCGAAGAATATTACTAATGCAAATTCAAAACAAATGCTATAATGTGAATATTATAGAAATCTTTGGAGAATTTAATTAAAAGACAAATTTGGATGAATTGACGTAAGTCCTTTATCTGACACTGGATGAATACTTATAATAGTATTTGTATTTAAGGTTCCATATAAACATGGGGCTACCCTAGAAGAACATGAATGTCATGTAGAAGAGTTTAATGTTTATAACTGTTGGGAGTGGGCTGATAGTGATGTTATTATCTACGAGTTTCCATCAGAGTCACATGAAATTTGTATTGAATGCTTATAGTCCGTTAAAAAGACAAACGCACAGGTCTATTGTCTTGGATCAACTCTTAAGCAATAATTTATTTACTTTTTGGTCATATATGGAATTATATTAACCTTGATTATTATTTAAAGGGGCGGTCAAGAAAAAGAAACCGATAATACATTTAGACCACAAAAACCTCTCGTAGATTCACATGATAGTGATGGACGTGTACGCCTTTATTTTTGTACCTTTCAATCCTATATGGTAGTTTCATGTAATACATTTTTATTTTCGGGATTGCCCTTGGTCAAATATTATTGTCGAAGTTGCGTACAGTGAGTCAATGGCTCATGTTAAAGAAAAGGTGACGGGATATTGGCTTAAACATAATCGTGCTTACGATGAAATAGTTGTCAAAATTAATCCTGTCTCTCAAGGGGTTATGCCTGCACATAATGATAGAAGTTATATTTATATAATATAGCAACCTATGTAGCTGTTTATGCAATATTCTAAAGATTTAACTCATTACAGGCATGACACTGCTGCGTTTCAGATAGAGTACCATAAATTGCCATATAAACTACCCAGGATTTACTACATTCAATAAATTGATTTAGACCCGAGGGGTCTGTTGTACAGCATAAGGTCTTTTGTTTGGAGGGTCTTTTGTTTAGGGTCTTATTTGGAGGGTCTTTTGTTTGGAGGGTCTATTGTTTAGAGAATTTATTATTTAAGAATTATTGTCCAAAAAATCGTAAATTTATGATAATCAAAACAATTAAATAAAGGTAATTTCGTAATTATTTAAAATTTGTTTATATAATAGTATGAATTTCTTTATTTTTTTGTTAAAAATTTCTTGTTCAAAATGGTTTATAATTGAAAAATTTAAAAACAGGCTATAATTACGAAAAAAAAAAAGATCTTGGAATGTACATGAAAAATTAGCTATTCTTACTTATCTGGACAAAAATCCTGAAGCTAATATTCACAATACTGCAGCAAAATTTGAAATTCAGCCTAATCAAATTCGTGACTGAAAAAAAAAATGACAACAATTAAATAAAGCTGTTCCATATGTTAGACAATTAAATATTGAATCAAGACCAAAGTTTCCTGAACTTGAAGATGGTCTAATTGAATGGATTCAAATGCTACGAAAACAACAAAAAATGGTTTTACATTCTATGATTTGAAAAAAAGCAAAAGTTTTAACTAATACAACTGAATTTAAACAAAAGTATCTAAATATTGAAATGTTTCAATTTAGTGATAAATTGCTCTATGAATTTTTGCATCGACACAAACTAAGCAACCATCATCATACTACTATTGCATAAAAATTATCTGAAAATTTAGAATTAGCACAACAAGAATTTTTAAACTTTGTCTTATTTCAACATATACATAATAATTATCCTCTTGCTTTAATTGGTAATATAAATGAAACGCCACTTTGGTTTGATATGTCAAGTAATACAACTATTGAAGAAACAGGTGCTCATATGATTAGTATTCAAACTTGTGGTTATGAAAAATCACATTTTACAGTAGTTTTGGCTTGTTTAGCAGATGGTACAAAGTTAACACCAATGATTATATTTAAACTTGCCAATATTCCATGTCAAGATTTTTCAAAAAGTATAATTATTCGAGCTAATCGTGAAGATTGGATGAATACTAATGAGATAATTTGGTGAATTAAAAACATTTGGACTCTTCAATCATCTTTAAATAAACTATAATCTTTATTAGTTTTAGATTCTTTTCAGGGTCATCTTACATCTTCAGTTAAACAATGTTTTAATGAACATGAAACTAATATGGCTGTTATTTCCAGAAAATTAACATTCAAAGTACAATCTCTTAATGTTGCTATTAACTGATCTTTTAAATTAAAGATATATTATTTATTTATTTATTATCATCATTATATTAAATAAATTATTATAATATTAAATATTTTTAATTAATAGGTAAAAGAACTATATAATAAGTGGATAGCTGAAGAAATAAAAGAACTTATACCTTCTGGTCAAATTAAACATCCTCCATATAATCTTATTGCACAATAAGTATTAACTACATAGGAACAAATTGATTCTAAGCTTATTGAAAAATCCTTTAAATGTTGTGGCATTTCAAATTCTCGAAATGGGTCTGAAGATAAGTTAATTTTTGATTATGATAAATTAAATTTAACTCAAAATAGAAAAGAAAATAATGATTATATTTTTGAAAATATTGAATATAATAATCAAGAAAAAAAATATCGATTTAACCAAAATTAATAATAATGAAAATAATGAAATAGATAAATATTATGAGAAAGAATCTATAGCTTATAATAATATTTGGAAAAATTAAAATAGTTGGATATTATTATAGATTAAAAATAAGTTGTCAATATTATGTATATATATAATACACCTTAGGTAAATAGCTATAATTATGATATAATTAAAAACATTGGCATATAAATATATAATTATCTAGAAAATCAAAGACTATATTTCATATTTTTTACTAACTTGATAAAATAACCAATAAGTCACTAAAAATTATAAATAAAGAGTTGTGAATATTGAAACATATCTATAATAAACCAAAATACATTTCAGAAGCCCTATTTTAAATCAGAAATATTACTGTAATATAAATTAATTTTTAAGTTTAACAATCAACTTGCTAGTGTTATATAGCATAATCTATATATCTTGAAGTATAAATGTGACTTGAATAATTAAGCTTAAATTTAGACTATCTGGATAATAATAATCTAATAATTATAAATGGAAAGAAAATTAATATATATTTAAAAAAAAGGTTATATATTATTAGAATAATGATATATTCTTACTTATATCTTGTTTTTCATGACTTGTGTTAATAAAGACTCCTATAAATTTCTTTAAAACAATAAAAACAAGTATTCATATAATCATACTGCTAAAGAAATTGCAATAGAAAATATTATATTGTTTTGTATTTTCTATAAATAAAGAAACAACAAATTATTATTTTGCTAAATCTAAATATATAGTATAAAAGTTAAAGTCTTATATTATTTCTAGTGAATACCTAATATATGATGTAACGATTAGCAATTTTGAATTAACTATACATAACAATAAAGATCTATCTTAATATCTATAACAATAGTTTTAATAAATTCTTTGTAATATTTTAAAATATAATATAAATTAAGTTTATATACCTTTATTTTGTCATTAAAAGTTTTAATTAGAATAAAAAATTAAAAAAAAACTCTTTCCGTAAAACTATCAGTTTCTTAAAAATTGCTTTTTTTGGTAATTTTAAGAACACCTTTACATAAACAATTCTCTAGCACAAGAAACCTTAACTAAAAGAACATTACAACTGTTCAGGAAGGTAAATTTATCTTGCAGAGCAACTTTGCTACTAACAACTTTACTTGATTCATTTTTCTCCAAAGAAACAAACTTTTAAAAGAAAAGAAAAAGTACAAGTTTTACAATTAACAGTAAGTTTCTAGAAAAGTCAGCATTAATCCTTCTAGCTTATAGCTAGTTATGTACAAGATTCTGTACCTCCTTAGATACTAGAAGGATCTTGGCCAGCCAGATTTTACCTGATAAATCAGGCAACCTAGACATCAGTCAAGAACAAGAGAACATTAGACTTTTCCAAGGGAATCTAAGAAAAAGGACTCAACAATAATAAATAACAACAATTTCAACATTATCAACAACTCAAATCATGCAAATAATTTTTCTAACCTAAGGAAAAAATCAGATCCAGCTTACCCCCAGCAAGTGATTGATATCACAACATGTGTACTTAACACATCAAACATATCAAAACACATCTAACAAAAAACACAACATGTCAACAATACAGATGTGTCTACCATACAAACAACAAACCAAATGAATATACCAGAAATAAACACATTGTTGACACAACACATCAAATATATCAACACAACAATAACAGTCCCCACGTACCAAACACATATACAATGAATATAATCACAATAATAACAACACTTAACATCAACTATATAGAACATGACTTTAATAATTATGACTAAAAAGAATTCAAGTCTATCCTCAAATATAGAAAGCTAGTCACCAGTAATACTATCCAATACAAACAACAAGAATGTGCTTCTAGATATCATTCTCATAGACAGAACTTGACGCCAAGTATCCATAATCTATCAGAATGAAAATAAAGAAGTTATAATTACAAAACCTTCCAGAACATCAACAATTCCTTTACTTAATAACTATCCTACAAAGTGGCTTATCCCAATTATAAATATTACCAGGCCAGACTCTCCAACTTTCTTAATCTTTCAGATTGAATTTTCAGTTGCAGAAAACCTAAGCAATCTTGTAATACAAGTTTCAATCCTTGTGGACAAATCTCTCCAACAGCTCGAAGAATTCCTAGACTTTCATAACTCTCTTCAAGAGATTTTTGCAAGAAATGGTCAGCTTAGAAACAAAGTTCTTCAAGCAGTTCTAGCAAGAGAATGAAACTACTCCATCTATATCCCCTGAAATATGATCCAAATCAGCAAAAACTTAAAAAAGAAAAAAACATTCACTTTTACAACAATGTATCAATTAGGGAAAACCAACCAGCTATCATCTATATCACAAACTCCAAACACTAAGAGAAGTATTTTGCTTCTTGAAGAAAAAGAAAAATCTCAAAACAACCCAATTAACAAGACAACTGCTAATCAGAATCCTCAAATAACCTCAGATTCCAATCAATCAAAAACCAGCTACCAATAAAAAGATCTGCAGTTGAACTTATCAAATATATCAGCCAATCAATCTCAACTATTTGTATATAATATACATAAAGATGATTATTCAATATCCATTGATCTAGATCTTTCCATCCCAGAAGACTTAGAAATGGTCAACACCCTAAATTCATATATTTATCAGGAGGAAAAGAACATAACCAATGCTCCTTCACCAAATAATTCTGACATTTCCTCTATAATCATAACCTCATAACAATATACCAATCCAGTCTTCCTTCAATCTCATCCCCCTATACTAATTCATGCAAAGACTCCTATGCATAGACAAAAAAATGCATACTTAAGCTTGACAAACAAAGGTGACAATAAAGAGAAAATAGAAACAACTACCAAGAGACCATAGACATATAAAGAGGACCTAATATTGAAGGACTCTGGAATTAAAGAATATGATATAACAATCAATACTGAAAATGAGAATGAGAAAGACCTCAATATTTTTAACAAACTTATCACAGAATACCATAGCATTATTCATTGGGCCTCAAGATTCTTTTACATAAGAACTAATCCAGATGAATTGATTAAACTCTTATTAGAGATCAACAAATGTCCAAGAGAAAGAGTCAAACAAAAACCCCACTTAGTTATCTTTGTCAAATTTGAAGCAAGAAATAGAAACTTCTTTAACTTCAGCAAGATAGCAAAGCTCAAAGACAGCCATCAGAAAGAATACAAAAAACTTGAAGGAAGATTCCAAAGAATTTACCAAACAAAATACAAAGTGGT